GAATGCAGGAACTTTTGGGGCAGGGTAGAAAGAGTCACTTTATTTAGGACCAATTTTGCAAATTTGGCCGAAAAGTCTCATGTCTCATTTCACTGATTCTTCGGGAGCACCGAGACATATCTAGAGCTATCCTGGAACCATCAAGACAGTCAGTCACTTTAATATGGATTCACTATGGTTGAGTTACTGAATTCCTTTTAGAAATCTACCTTAGAGAGAGAGATGGTTTCAACATGTTAAAAGTATAGATGAAAGTATAGTAAGAACTTGTAAAAATAGTTATAATGATGAATACTTTATGGAAACTTGCAATTAAGACTCGTATTAGGACTCGTATTAGAGATGATATCTTTTATTAGACCAACAAGATTTTTGCCAAAAAAATTTTTTATGGAAACTTGAGCATCTCCAGACCAGGGTGGCAAATCCTATTTCTATTATGGTATCAAAATATTCCTGTCTTCTTGTCCCAAACCTTCCAAATCCCGCATAAAATGGGAGGAGATGGATCAGACAACGGTAATTCCTATAACTTCCATGTTAGGGAATACCAGGACCCTAAAGGGCTATAGGCTTTTCATGGTTTCTACTAACACTGGTTTCCACCAAAAGGGCTGATGAGGGAAATAGGAGAAGATAAAGCTAGCAGAGCCAGCTGGGCACAGAGAGAAAGCAAGAAGTTTCTCCAAGTGCAACACATTCCACACAGGCATTTGAGAAAGCATTGTTTCTGTTTTCCCAATGAGTAATTGAAATTTTCCAGCAAAAAGTTTACCACTGTAAATGGAGGTTGTTTCCCTCCATTTATCAGGTAACATTGACCCTCAAAAATCCAACTCCTCAGGCCTCTTACCTCAAAGCAAATTAAAAGAAAGATGTGCCCAGTGTTGTCTCCAGAAAAAAAGTGTCATCCTTCCTCCCTTTTCCCTCTCAAATGCCCCTAAACAGGTATTCAGTTAAATAATACTTATTAAAGGACTCATCTTTTGCCAGGATATATCACTACATTGTGGCTCAGGTGTTTTTATGGCAGAAATCATAACTGTAAACACATTTCTAAATACAGGCTACTTTACAATTGTCATTATGTATAATTAAGAACATTTTACAAATGGAAGAATTGTGGTTCAGAATCTCAGGCAGAATCCGAATTGGATACTTTGGGGGCAGACGTCAGAGTTAGGGTTACTATGGTCTCTACGACTACCTACACTAGCTGAACATCACCCCATTATCTTTCAAGTCCCAGTCCTATGCTTTATCCACTAGGAAGGCATTGCCTCCCTAAAGCAAGTGCAATTTATGTCCTCCTTTAAAATAATGCAATGTGCTCATTCTGCAACGTTTGCTTTCCATTGTGTGGTTATATGAATGTTTTAGTCTTCCAACATGCAGTCAATGACTGGGTCTCTTGCTCTAAGCCTAGCTCCAGAAAATTATTGGGACATCCAGAGTTTGACTTGAAAGTTTTTGCTGGCATCAGGTACCGAAGGTTCTTCCAAAATCTGGAATTCAATGGAAGAGACTGATCCTTTTTCCACTGTACAACTCTCCAAGATGGCAAAAGGGCAAGTGATTTTGGCAAGAAATTATAATCATGTATAGGCATGTAGTTAATTAATATTATTTTAATCTTCCTTTCTACTAATGCCTTATGTAGTCCACTCTCAAGCTCATACATGACTTTGTCAGAAACATAGTTCTTGCTCAGTATAACAATTAATCTTCTGCTCTTGTCAATGAATGAAAGGACATCATCAACAATAGCTGTAAATTAAAGATACATTTATAAAAATATTATTTATATTTATACTTCTTAAAATAAATTAAAAGCACAGGTACCCAAATTAACATATCTTTCTGTAGTAGGGATAACGTGTTTCAAATGTAAAATGACTAAATTACTTTATGCTTTATTCATTCGTAAACTATAATAGTGATAAGTAATATGAAAAAAATGGTAGAGAATTAAACAATTCTGAGAATTTAAGAAACACGACAATGGAAATCTAATTTGACCTTAGTCAGTGTACATTACTTCCATGCTACAAATCAAATTACAAACTAATTGACTCCATAAGAGCTATTCCATGAAGAGCAGCAGAATAACTTCAACTAGTGTCACTTCAGCCATGCAGTTAGTGTCTTCTTGCAATATTCACTAACCCTCAATTCACTTCCCTATTTTTATCACTATCCACCCTACCTATCAGTATCCTCTGTACCATATATCAGTGATCAACAACCTTTTAAAGGCTGTGGGCTGAACTGACTCACTTCAGGGCAGGGGTGGGTGGAGGGGGACAGGCATTTAAGATCCAACTGCTACTACCATTTTTCCCTGCAGCAGCATGGGAAAGCAACTGCTACCGAAGTCCTCCACCACCAAATACCACTGAAGTTCTTTGTCCGTGGGCCAAATCAAATAGTTCCATGGACTGGATTCAACCCCTGCTGTAGATAAACAACTCTGTACAGTACAAGCAAGGATTTCATGATTCTTTAGTTACAAAGAATAATTACTTAAACTAAAAAGTAAAACCCTAAGTCCTGCAAAGACTTACACACGATGCACATATGCTCATGCACAAGCACTGGCAAAAATCTTCTACATGAAGAATTTATTTTCCTCTATAGCTCAGCTGCATGAAATCTCACTGTGTTTTGTTTCAAATGTTCTTTAAAGCGTCACCTATTTATAGCACATTTACAGTTTTTAAGCATTTCTACAGCACCCATCACATTTATGAGCAGGGTTCCTGGTTTTCTCCGATTTAAAACAAATCCCAACTTTTGGTTAAAAGAAAAGTAACCCCAAATCCATTTTTTTCCATGTTTCATTTAAATCACGGAAAAATCTAGATTTTTTGAGAGTCAGTTTTCATAAAAGCTTAATTGTCATCCATATTGTAAAGATTATAGAAGCTTAATTTATAGAGTGCCACAAGGGAAAAAAACATGGCTCTGGTTTCAAAGTACAACAAAAGCAGTAGTTTCCATAAGAACTACTTCACTCTGTAAGAACTACTTCACAGTCAGGGCGGCTAGGATCTGGAACCAACTTCCAAGGGAAGTGGTGCTGGCTCCTACCCTGGGGGTCTTTAAGAGGAGGCTGGATGCCTACCTAGCTGGGATCATCTGAGCCCAGTTTTTTTTCTCCTGCCCTGGCAGGGGGTCAGACTTGAAGATCTATAAGGTCCCTTCCGACCCTACTTCTATGATTCTATGAAAAGCAGTTCCATTGCAAACCCAAGCTTAACAATAAAGACCTCTCATTGGTTTTTGGTTCAAACCCTATTTTTGTTCCCTCTACTCACTGAAAAGAGGAACAGATTAAGTTGAAACTTTTCAGACAGCCTCTAGTTTTGAAAATACAGTGTTTAATGTGCACAACCTACCATTTGCACACAAAAGCAGCATGGATTTAATTAAAATATGTTCCACAGACAAACATGACTCATCATTAAAGTTCATTGTAACTGCAGACCCCTGCCTTTTTGTGAAAATCTCATACCCATTTAATAGTAAAGTCATTTCATTTGCTTACCTCCTCCAGGAGTCACATCCCGCTCAAATATACACAGTTTGTATCCAAAATGTTCTTCCAGTGTCTTGGGTAATATTTCCAAAGCAAATTTTCCCTCTTCATCATTAGTTGTTATGCAGTCTTTCAGGTAAGACACAAAAGCGTCATATTCTTTTCCATCTGGAAAAAGAGTTACCAATTTTTGTCTCGTTAGGCCAGGAGCCAAACCTGGCTCCTGGTGCAATATCATCCCAGAGTGTGGGTGCCAGCCAAAGCTGCGCATAGCCCAATCCAGGCACATGGGCCTGATCCTGGGGCACAAGGTCCAAGTCCCACTACCCTCATCTGACCCGTGGGCTCAAAAGATTGAGCGCCACTGTGTTAGACTAAACTCATCTGAAGCTTAACAACTATGATAACTGATCCTTCTTCCTGACTTCTATAATTACTGTCCCCCCACAGTAAGCTTCTGAGATGGCAGCTTTTTCTCAAACATCCCTCCAGTCATTTTGCAGATGAAATATCATGGACCAGTACCATTCTGACACAGTCCATCCTATTCCATTTGTTTTCTCAAAAATTTGCAGAAATATCCCTGACCTGTTGAGCTGTTTTGAAACTTACACGTTTTTAATCCATTCAAAGACATACCTAGGATATGAATTAAACAGAACTTGTAGATGTAAATTTATACCCTTAGATTGTATTATTCATTTGAAAATAATGGCTTCATAAAAGATATCATATAGATTCCAGGTTTATTTCATTTCATGGCCTATGCTACTGTGTGTAGTTGCATCATGAATATTTACAGAAGACATAAAGGAGAGCATAACAAAAAACAAGTTCCAAGGCTGAAGCTGTCAATTGTAATTACTCATAAACACATATTGAAATATAAAGCAGCAGCATATAGCAATAGCTAACTGAAACTCACAAACCACTGTAAAAAGGACAGCTTTGTGGCCTACCCCTAAGGTCCATGCAATCCGTGTCTAGGGTTAAAATCTGCTACCTTCTAGACCCATCCTGGCTCATAATGAAATCTGATCATTGAGGTTTAACCGTGAACTAACCAAAATCTGAAGTTGCAAACTTAAGTAACAAACACAGATAAAGCAGAGAATCAGATGCAACTCTCAGTACTTTTTCTTCTTCCTCCCTACCTTACCAACATTTCTTCTCTTTTATTTAAACTGAAACATCACAGTCCATACTTTTTTTTCATTTAACCTCATAATAGCCTCCTCTACATCTATAAGCAAGGATCACAAGGTGAGAAACTACACACTAGAAAGCCTTTTGGGTATAAGACATCCCACAGTCTTTTCTTGGATGCTAATGAAATTATTCAAGGTTAGTCCCATCTATACTTCTGGAGATCTATGGATGAATCCACATCTTGTGACCAAAAATATTCAAGGCAATAGATAGATCAAATAATATTGGCAAGTACAATTGATCTTCATCCATTAGTAAGAGATCACTAACCAATGTAACTAGAGCTATCTATATCCTGTGCTCAAGTCTATATGCAATCTAACAAAGGGAAAGTATTCTAAGTATTATTGTGAGAGTTGCCCAACCAAAAACTCAACCACAAAGAAAAGACTGGACCCAGAAGTAGTCGGCCAATTAACAACATCAAGTGATGGTGTCTCGAATATGGGCTACACTAAATGCTTCTTGGTAAGATTCTGGCAGCTTAATGTGACAACCGAT